GCCTTCAGCACTTCCTGGACCTTCTGCTCCAGCTCCATCCGCCGCTGCCGCTCCCGGTCCAGCTCCTGCCGCAGCATCTCCGCGTTGGTTTCCTCTCGCAGCTTCCGGAGCTCCTCCTCTGTGAGGGGAGAGAAGCCCAGGTGAGTGTCATGTGGTTCATTCTGCCCCCCATGCAGAGGTGCCGAGAGAGGGCTGGTCTGCAAAGCACTTAGACAACTGGTGGCAGCAGCTCTCTTGCTCCTTCCTGGGGGGCACACCCGCAGGAGTCTATCAACCGGGGCTCCTCTTACACAGTCAGAGCAAGATCTGGGGCAAAGCAAGGGTGAGAGTGTCTATACTAAATAAAACCCATTCAAGATAGACACACCAAAGGCATTTCACCAAACCACCTCCACGGGGGCAGGACACCCCGAGGAAGGGATGCTGGCGGCACTTGGTCACTCCAGACACACATGCAGCAGGTGCAGTTCTGGGAGGTCTCGGCCCATGTGAGGGGCAGAGAGCTCCGCCACCTGGCTGCTGACCACCTGAGAACCATGCGGCGGGACGGTGAGGGGTACAGTGGCAGGGTGAGCGGGTGCTCGAGAGAAGCCGCAGCAAGGTGTGTCTGAGTCAGAACCTGGATGAACAGAAGGTCGCGGGCCGGCAGGGTAGGGGTGGGGGGGAGAGCGTGGGGTGCAGAGGGAGCAGCCCTGGTGAGGCGAAGGCAGGAGGGGCCGTGGGCTGGGGGAGGGGTCACAGATGAGATGCGGGCGGGGCGTCAGAGCCCGGGAAGCCAGAATGAGGACCCGACATTTATTCCAGGTGTGATGGAAGCCAGTGCCAGGTAGCTGTTGTTCTAACTGAGGGTGTGGGGTGGGCTGAGGAATGGCCCCAAGGACGGGCCATCCTAACCTTGGAAGCTGTGACTAAGCACCTTACACGGACAAAGGGACCCTGCAGAAGCGATAAGGACCTTGAGATGGGTGTGTATCCTGGATTATGTGCATGGGACCAATGTCATCACAATGATGGAAACTCAGGAGGACGCAGGAGGGTCAGGGGTCAGAGAGAGGAGACAGGAGGGTGCCGTCCCGCTGCCTGTGAAGAGCCAGGGGCACGGGCAGCGTCTAGAGCTGGAAGAGTCAAGGACACAGTCTCCCCCAGAGCCTCCAGAAGGAAGACGGCTCTGCCTGCACCCTGACTGGAGCTCTGTGACACTCACTTCAGACCTCTGGCCTCTGAACTGGGGGAGGATAAGGAGGCTACTTTAAGCCCCCAGTCTGTGGAATTCTGTTGCAGAGGCGACAGGAACCCCGTACACACGTGGCTGCACACGCCCTGAGTGGACGTCGCTCTGCATTTCTGCACGACCGGACGCCGCACGACGACACCACACAACACAAGAGATCCGTGAGCAGCCGCCCAGCTCACACTCCTGAGGACGGGTCTCCTCCCACCTCCAGGCTGGAGCTGCAGTGAAGACACAGACCCTCTGGGCCTCTGGACCCAGGGCGGCCTGGGCTTAGTGAGGAAGGGGGCCTCAGAGAGCACCATGGACAGGGAGGTGACCAGGACCATGGACGGCCACCCCTCTGACGGCTGGGCCCAAAGAGCAGAAGAAGGGTGTGCGAGAAGGTTCCAGAACCCGCTTTGCATACAGTCTAGTCCTGCACTTCTCGTGCCCCCTCCCAAGCGCCCCAGCTACCTCTACTGAAGACGAGAGTTATGCATCGATGAAGAGGCCTGGTCCAGCCTGACGCGAGTCCTGCAGTTTCGTGGGGGACAGATGCTCCTGAGCTAAGTCTGGTCGGGGCGGGGATTCCGGCTCTACTCCTACCTGGCCACTGACGGTGGGGCAGGGGCCTAGCCAGGCTGCAGGGACGATGGGAGCAGAGGGCCCAAGGAGGGAGGGCTAAGGAAAGACCCACCCTCCTCCCACCGTGGGAGAACGTGCGTGCGCCGCCCGCCGCGCACGTGCCCGGGCAGCGCCGGCCGTGCGGGAGGCCCAAGGTCACAAGCAGAGGCAGACGGGAGCTGGTCCTGCTGCGGGCCCAGACCAGAGCCCCCGGCAGCGGGAAGCATCACGCGCTGACCCAAGAGTGAGGGCTCACATTTGCAACAACATGGACGCAACAGGAGATGAAGTAAGTCAGAGAAAGACAAGTAACCTGCGATATCACTTATACGTGGAATCTAAAATATGATACAAATGAACCAATCTATGAAACAGAAACAGACTCAGGGGCATAGAGAACAGTCTGGTAGTTGCCACGGGGAAGGGGGTCCCTGGGGGAAGGATGGAGTGGGAGTTTGGGGTTAGCAGATGTAAGCTATTATATACAGAATGGATAAACAACAGGGTCCTACTGTAAAGCACAGGGAACTATGGGATACTTATATCAATATCCTGGGACAAACTATAACGGAAAAGAATATAAAAAAGAATGTATATATAACTGAATCACTTTGCTGTACAGCAGTAATTAAAACAACACTGTAAATCAACCATAAATTTAAAAATTTTTAAAGTTAGGGCTCAGGGGCTTCCCTGGTGGCGCAGTGGTTGAGAGTCCGCCTGCCGATGCAGGGGACACGGGTTCGTGTCCCGGTCCGGGAAGATCCCACGTGCCGCAGAGCCGCTGAGCCTGCGTGTCCAGAGCCTGTGCTCCACAGCGGGAGAGGCCACAACAGTGAGAGGCCCATGTACCGCAATCAATCAATCAATCAATCAATCAATCAAGTTAGGGTTCAGCACTGGGCCTTGGTGTCAGTCTACACCGAGCACCTGAGAGCCCCAAGCATTTGCTGAGTGAGTGAGTGAAGGGGTTCTGCTCTCCGCCCCCACCCCCCAGAAGTGAGCACAGCCCAGCTACAACCAGGACCCTTGTCCTCCAGGTGGGGAACTCCTTTGCCATCCCGCAAAGCCCCTCCCCACTCGGTCGCCCCACAGACACCTGGGGAATGACAGGTAGCTGCAGGCAACTTCTCCAGGATCCCGCCCCAAGTCCTTTGTACGATGTAATCACTGTAAGATGCAATCAAGTCCACCTGGAAATCTTAGGTCACTTCCCTCAGGCCTAAGGCTCCTGCAGATACGAGACCCACGTCACGTCAGAAATCGCTTTTTCTTGTTTCTAAACCGGTACGTGGTAGGCTCGTTCTCGTCACAGCCCCCCGATGACACAGTCCTCATCCCTCTGCCCACCTCCTGCATTTGCTGGACGTAAGCCCTCACTCCTCAGCGTTCTCAAAGGTGTGACCCTGGAGGAACCACTGCCCACCCGGGACAGACAGGCCCCAGACTCACGGAGGGCAGAGGACCTGGCGCTACGAAGAGGCTCACAAGGCCGCCGCCACCCCCCTCGCTCGGCTCCACCAGGGCCCTAGGGCAAGGCTGCCCACGTGCAAATGGGTCAGTGGTGCAGCAGGGACACAGCCACAGCAGCCGCAGTGCGTGCCGTGGCCCAGCTACAAAGCCACGTGGAGTCACATCCTCAGCAGACACCCATTCCCCACACGACAGCGTGTCGAGGGCCAAGACCAGAGATCGGCCCCCCCGCAGGCAGCTGCTTTGGGCCAATGATCCCGTTTCCGCTTTTCTGCAAACAGCTAAAACTGTGAAACAAACCTGACGGCCTGGGCCAGAGGCTGAACCAGAGCAGCTCAGAGCCCGCATCGGCCACTCCACCAGTGAGCACTGGGCAGCCTCGTGTACCAGGCACGCTCTGGACACGCATGATGAACAAGTGACCCAAACAGAGAGCCACCCTTGGCGGGGGGGGGCAGGTTGGGCCGTAGGAACAGCCCTGTTCAGTGAGCCTGAGCTGAGGGCAAACGTGAGCAGGGCTGCGGAGAAGCATCGAGCCCCGTGCACCTGAGAGGGGAGCGTCCAGGCAGCAGGGGTAGCGCCTGCCAGAGCCCCCGAGATGGTCCTGGGCAAGGGACCACACGGGCTCCCACGGGGCGGGGCTGTGCTCGCCCACCTGCAGCCCAGCCTGCCGTCAGTATGCTTTCCCATGAGACCCAACTCCCCCGGTCCCTCGGTGACAATGACAACAGCCTACACTGGTGAGGTGCTGGCTCCTGAGCGCCCTCTGCAGGGTGTAACTCAGCAGCAGCTGCGAGCACAGGGCCTGCCCGACCCTGCGGGTGCCGCCAGCTCAGGCCCCCCCAGGAGCTCCAGCAGGTGGGCCTCTGTGCCCGGCCCGCAGCATCCACAGCGCGGGAGCCCTCGGGGAGTGTCAGCCGGCGGCAGGATGAACCCCGGATGCCCAGCCCGTGGCCCCCACCAGCCGTGTCCAAGCGGGGCCTTTCCAACAGCCTCAAGGAAAACAGACCGAGCAGCCCCCCAGAGAGAGGAACGTGAACTCTGACAACAGTGACAGAGGGACGACCCTCCCCGGGCCCGGGAGGTCGGCAGACTTCCGAGCCAGCACCACGACGGCCCAGGGTCAGGGTCACCGGTCTGCCGGGTGGGACCGAGGCTGGTGTATGTGCAGCGGCGGGCTGCAGGGTCTGGCTGAGGGTCAGCTCACTGCTCCCTCTACCCAGAAGGCAGCCCCATCCATGTGTGGCATGTGGCAGCCATGGTCCGGTGGCGGGTCAGAGACCACCCCAATCGTGGGGTTGACAGGCTGCAATGGAAATTCCCACAGGAGAAGCCTCACTTGGGCCAGTCCCAAAAGGCA